GTATTACAGATACAAAAGAGCAAAAATAGAATGAGAAGCGAATTATAATGTTAAAAAGAGGAAGTTTGGTACTAAACTCTAAGATTTTCCCATTACATCTTGATTTTCTAAATATTTAAATGCTCATTGTTGGCAGCAAAATTAAATTGGCTTGATAATAGAAATAGTATTCATAGTATCCTTCATGGACCCTGGATCATAAAATTTCTTGCGAACTACACAAAATCAGCATTCTATAGCATTATGCCAAAATGATGATTAAAAAGCATTGACACGGAAAGTAAGCCTTGTGGGGCATATTAGAGAAAGTTGATTGCAGACACAATAGACATTGATATCCACGCATAAGGATGCGCATTAATAAGAGCGTAAACACAAGTGTATACATAAATCCAGACCACTGGACACAAAGAAGAATAAATTCATATGCGCCAAACCTACTAACTAAAAATATCAAATACAAAACCGTGCTCTCTTAAGTGATTAGGTACGGGGAGTTGAATCAGCCCTGAATATATAAAAAAAGCTTGGCCTGCCGACAAAGCCCACTGTGATATGAATCCAAAAGATGAATCCTCGACCAAATTGCATTGCTACTCGCATATAGCTTAAACCGGTATATTATCACAAATGAACCCCAAATAAGTACTGAATAATTGATTACCCGACCGATGTAAAAGTGGGATCTGTCTTAGTTTGTATTCCAGTCGGTAATATATTTACTAAAATACAAACTACAGTTAACATAGATTGAAGGCCATCATAGTGTGACCATAAATTTGGTGGCAGCCTCCCTTAGCTGGATAGCGTAGGCTTTAACTCGTTTTCCCAACTTGGTAGGAGGTAAATGGAGAACTTGTATAGCCTACTTAATCCTGTGTTTCTACCAGAATATTCATGATAATTTAAAGCATCGGACTGCTGATCAGCACATCGTTACTGAGAGTCACCAAATTAAACCCCATCAAAGAGATAAATGAAGGCAAGCCTCTTTATCAATGTTCTGTTCCATCTAGCCCCTATCACTGCATCCTAGGAAAAGAAGGAGAGTATGAGCCCCAAAAGTTGGGCACAAAATTGGTTAAGGGCTTTTGATACATTAAATAGAATGGCTTATTCAAATTCTGCGCGCTGGATGGCCATTTTGACAGTAAAAATAAAGTACCAACTTACATCAGCCATTTCCAACTCATCTGCTAAAGACTCTTCACGATTAGATTCCGCCTTATTGACACCAAATCGCTCGATTGGCCGCAGTTGTGCGTCGAATGAGATCAAGCCGCGCTCAGCCGCTGCCTCCGCTGCCGCATCATTGTCCGAATCCTCGTGTGCGTTGACGACAGGTTGAAGAGTAGCGGATATAGAAGCGGTAGCGTCTGCAGCGACCGTAGTCTCACTGTTGCCTGGACAGCAATCGGTATCCCCCGTTTTGGTTGGTGCCGAAGTCAGAGTGATCTCATCGGATTTGTTCAAGGAATTGTCTATAATGGGGCGAAAAAAGTAGTTGATAATTGTGATTGGAAGACACAAATAAGATATGGAGTATTTAATTTCGAGTGTTAATACAGAATTGATCATCATCGCCAGACGGAAAAGCATAAAAAGCCATGTCAGAGATATTTTTCATTTATAAGTAGGCTAGAT